AATGTGTACTTTTTTATATTTTCTACTTATTTTAACTATAAAAATAATAACAACAATAATAATAATTATTATTATTATTATTAAACAAGAATAGTGTAGTAAAATTATGTAATAATTTTAAATATGGTGGGTGTGTAACTGGGCTTCTACCTCAGCAATTTCAGTGAGCTATTAAACTTAGCAAGGACTAACAAACAAGTCATGTAGTTCTTATGTTATCGTAAATAATGCAAGGCAGATCATATGCAGCCCCACTTTGCTTATGCCTACACTCTAAAAAATGCTGGGTTAAATACAACCCAGTGCTGGGTAAAATAGGGACAAACCCAGCAATTGGGTTATTTTGACCCAGTGGTTGGGTTACTACCCAGAAGGTTGGGTTAAACATTTAACCCAACCGCTGGGTCAAAACAGCCCAATTGCTGGGTTTGTCCCTATTTTACCCAGCACTGGGTTGTATTTAACCCAGCATTTTTTAGAGTGTACCTACATTAAATCAGTCAGCTGAAAATATAAAGTCCTAACAATTAGTTACCATTCTTTTTCTTATTTCTCATTAAAATACAAAGGCTAGCAAGACTATCCCAAGTGAGATGGAGTCGTGGTGGTGGGAGGGGGGAGGAAGAGTGGAAGAACAAGGTGAAAAAGGCCTACCTGCAAGCAGGAGTAATGAACTTTGGTTAGGAGGCACTGTTCCATAGAGCTGGCCAGCAGCATTACATTTTAATGAGCTGAAGAGAGATCATGGGCCGACCCACACAAGACATTTCCTAGGGAAAAAAAAACGGGGGAGAGTGAGGCTGAAAAAATTCATTTCATGCACTATGGCTGCTTAAAAAGGGCAATTTGAACAGGTCTCAACACATGTATGCGGTAAATTTTTAATCTGCATTAATGACATGAAAGAAGAGCCAATAAACCTTCGTTTCCAATGTTGTTCAAGTTGTCATCTCAGAGGAGGCCATTGTAAGGTATCTCTGTTTATGTATAAAATTAATATGTATACTGATGTAGCTGGAATTTATTTCAACTGCTATTCTGAATCATACAAAGTTGGGTTTTCTGTGCTCAAGGAACACGTATAGGATAAAAGTACCTGAACTAATCATTTCAAAATTTGCCTGTATTATTGAATAAAATTGGATTTGCTACAGTAAACATCAGTGAAGGCTGTGCTTTGAAGTGAACTGGGTTACACTACACTAGAACACTCTTCTTTAACTTTGATACGGCTGAAAGCAGGCAAGTGCAAACAAAATGCAAATACAATATTTTAACACTTCCTATGATCATAACAGAACATTTAACACAGGCTGCAGTCGCCTAGTCAAGCTGTAAGCCTTGTGCCATTTCAAACAGGTGTTCTTGTACCCTGTCTAAAAGTATTCCCTCACCAGTGAGCAGACTTCAGAGGCAGGACCCTCATGCACTGAGCGCTTAAGAGGTTGACCTCTGCTCTGTTGACATTAGAAGATGTCCCAGCTTTAAGCACATTTTCTCTGCATGAATTATTAAAGATTACACACTGTCTGGGGTGTTCTCTGTGTCCTGCTCACAGCATGAAGTCACTGGCACACAACCAGTTCTGAGCCCTTCTATCGCCTGAATCCTAAGCGTCCTTTCAATAGCATCGATTCATATTTTAATATTTCTTGGGGAATTCTAAGCACCCTGGCAAGTCATTCATTCACACCTTCCAAATAGCTCATTCGATAGCGAGAACATGGATCCAAGCTATTGAATTTGTGTGGCTAATGCAAATCGTAGGGTTAAATCATTGTTTGGTTGGATGTTAAAAAATTCACACAATACTTACAATACTTAAATAGATTTTGCTATATAGATTTTTTTTTATTTTTTACTAAAAATATAATTTTTTTAATCTTGCCAGTTCACTTCACTCAAATCATCAGCACATACGGAATAAGGATTTCCTTAGTAATGAAATTTACATCCATGTTATAGTTTATACAAATGTGAAAATGTGTAGCCAACGAGTATAAATGTGTTCCTGGAATAAGGTGACAGCTTCTTCTCTCAAAAGCGTGTCCCAGATTAAAGACATCAGATGCTGCAGTGGGCTTTGGTGAAGCAATGAGACACTATTGCTTTCCTGTCACATAAAATTTATAGCCCTCCATTTGCATCTGTTCTTCTCTGCCTCTAATTCCCAACTTTTTTTTTATCCCCAAGTCCCAATCAATAGGGCCTCATCCGCACTGGCACCCCTGAATGTTTGTGCTAGAAAAAAAATGTCGGATCTGGGAAGTCAGTATCTACACTCTACAAGCAATCTTCACTTGCTTCAGTGAGGAGGAGGATAGAGGGAGAGATTGAGATAGATAAAGAAAGAGAGAGGGAGAGAGAGGGAGATTATTAAAGCTGAGGCCAGTTCGAGGCAGTGAAGCTCATCATTGAGGTGAATTGATGTGATTTCATGCTTTGTTTGCAAGATCATTCAGACCAAAGTGCAATGAAGACTTTCCCCCATATCACACCTTCGAGGTAGTGGGACTTTATCATATTTCTAAAGATGGGATCCCATTTGATTGAATCCACTCTCTCCGCGGTAGCGCCCACTCTGCCTCGCACATCTACTCCATGATTGGCCCTAATACCCCAAGATTGGTTATTTGTGACAGAATCAGTGCATCTATATAGCAAGGCCCCAAAACAACACTAGAGTTTTACACAGGCATTGGGTCGCATCAGGCTGTGTGGAAGCTTACCGTAAAGTGATCCAGCCAACCAGCTGCAACTTCGACTCATCGTGTTCTTTTAACTGTCATTTCGTAGGATAATTCGAACCAAAGTTCAGCAGCCTTTCCATCCATCCTCCGATGGCACAGGAACGCCTCTCACCACAGCGGGACACACTATAGGTGAGACAGCATATACTGTATTTTGCATATAAACATAAAAATCGTAATGACATCAATTATGCCTGTGACCTAATGTTAATTCATTCTCTTTTAAGGTGATCTTGAGAGCACTCCATATACGTTAACCTATTCCTGTGCTCTTTCAGTGCCCAGCACAGCCTCCCCACCTGTGTCAAGCGCTTCCAATGACCCCGTGGGGTCCTACTCTATTAATGGCATCCTAGGAATCCCTCGCTCCAATGGCGAAAAGAGAAAACGCGATGATGGTAAGAGACTGGATTTCTCTCCATCGCTTTTATTCCCCTTTCACTCCTATTCTAGGCCTCTCTACAGCCCCCTGTAATTTCCAATTTGTGTGGGGAGATGAAGATGGCATTTTGATAGCACTGGACAAAGCATTTTGTAAAAGAAAAAAGCGCTCTCAAGTGACTTGTTATGTAGTAAAGCAGATTGGACTATTTCATTCAGCCGCTTGATACTATGGTGTTTGCACAGCTGTAGCACATTTTATTTGATGATACAGTAGCTCTGCGCAAACAAGAATATGCCTACATGCTATCATTTGGTCTGAATCATGATCGCATAATGCTTAGGTAGTGTGTCAGGGATACGGCTGTATGCTTTTTGTAAATAATACAGGTCAACGAAATGAAGACAAAGAAATCAGCAATGTAAATACAAGAGATGCATGAGGAAATGTGCTCAGAACCGACTGGAAATGCAGAATGCAATGCAAAAACGGCCTGATGTGCGATTAATAATTGACTTCTAAAGACATATTCTGATGTTTTAATTTCTCACAATTTTCTGGCTGTGTATTTTTTGGTTTTGAAGAACTGAAATAGCGGCAAAATGGGGGCTGCCAACCTGCTCATGCCAACATTCTCTCTCCTTTTCTAAATGAGAGGGCACATACTGCCTGAGGCCTAATGGCTGATCGGCTCTTCATACAATCGCCTTTTGAATGCTAGTGAATAAACATCCATGTGGCACCGGGCCGAACGGGAACACAGAAAGTGCTGTAGTCAAAGGGAGGGAGGTTGAAGTGGTTGGAAATGATCTCTTAAAACATTTATCAAAGCAGGGCACTTGCTTCTTTTATGTTTCCATCTCTTTAGTTCTCTGGAGTGGCAACCACTTGGATGGGAGGAAAATAGGATATTGTAAGTTCCGTTAGCCCACCTTCTCTTTGCTTGCTCAATCACAAGCCACTCGAGTCTGATCAAGTGCTCTGTGAGGGTGTGTGTGTGTGAGTGTGTGTGTGCATGTGTACGTGTAGGGTTGTGTGTCGAGGGGAGGGGGATGAGAGAGCGCACTGACGCTTAATGATATCTTTATGGAGAGAGCTCTGGATCATATATAAACACTGTGAGAAAGCGACTGTGGCAAATCACATTTGCTACAGCGTGGCAAGCTCTTACTGAGACCGTCGTGGGGCTTTTCCTCTGTCACTGTCATAGGCCGTTTGCTCCTAAAAACAGAGAAGGGACATAACATAAGTGAGAGGGGATTAACGGCAGCGGCGGTAGTTATTCCTAGTTTGATTAGAACTGACACAACGTGAAGAGTGGATGAAGGGCTTGAGGGTAATTGCATCATAAAACACTAGGCGGGAAAACACAAGTTTACTTGTGTGCACAATATCAAATTTAATACTGCTTCAGCGAGGATTACCTTTCATTATAACGACTAGAGTAAATATTCCCATCGTTGCCAATGTGTTTCCCTCCTCTGGCATCGCACGACCTTATGCAGGTCTCTCAAGGTGTTGAGTGTAATTGCATCATAAAACACTAGGCGGGAAAACACAAGTTTACTTGTGTGCACAATATCAAATTTAATACTGCTTCAGCGAGGATTACCTTTCATTATAACGACTAGAGTAAATATTCCCATCGTTGCCAATGTGTTTCCCTCCTCTGGCATCGCACGACCTTATGCAGGTCTCTCAAGGTGTACCGAGTCATTTGTAGGGCATATGTCATGCCGTGTCCCTGATGAAGAGCTCATGGCTGGTAATTTGATACAGTGCCAAATGTCTAAAAAGCTTTGTGTTATTTAAACTTAGCCCTTATTTCACACCGAGACATCAGGGAGGCAGAGCGACAGCCAGTGTATGGTTTCAATTTCATAGCAGCCCAGCAGCCTTGGGCTACCTGAGCCTTATTTGGCTGGGCGCAGCCAATCTTCCCTTCATTAGATGATGACATAACAGAAATATGCTAATCCGATTTTAGGAAGCGCTGTGCAGATGCACTTTGAAACATGTAACGTGTGAAATGAGGTTAAAACCAGCCAGTTCTGGGGTGGTGTAATGAGTTAGCGTTTGATTTAAAAGATGTAGGCTTCCGCAGTCTTTATATTTGATGATGCTAGTGCCCTTTAAAAAAAAAAGGGTCCCCCATTACAAGAGTGATATGGAGATAATGTAGTGTGACACGCGTTATGTACACCAGGTCTTTGCAAGAGGAGCTTCAGGGACACAGGTGTCATAAGAGTCATTAATCTGTCATTTTCATGTGTTACTGCAAATTAAAAGTAGCGTGTTGCTCGCCGGCTACGGGTGACGTTCGGCGTGGCATGGACCGTCGGAGGAAGGGAGGGAGAGAGAGAGGCAGAGGTAGGGGTTGGGGGGAGCCTCCCAAGATTAGTTCTTTGGTGGCAATAGCTCCCCGCAAGTTGAACATAGTGACATTTAAGAGAATTTGCAATTCTGCAGAGAAAAGCTATTAATTCACAAATTAGCACCCCTTCCTCTATCATGGATGTGCAAGCTATTGAGGAGACAAAAGAAATATCCTAAAGGGGAAGAGAGAGACACAGCCCTATCTGTGTAAAGATTGGTTTATATGTCTGCAAGCAGTGATACCAATTATGCCAGCACAGAGAATGCGCCTCAACCTTATTGCTGCCTTCACAGGCCCTTCAATCCATTGCCAGATTTATTTGTGTATCTCATTATGGAAAATAGAATGCCTCTCTTGCCAAATGCATTAATGGCAAAAGAGGGAAATTAAGCCTGTTTGGGATTTCTCATTTGTCAAAGTTAATACTTTGTTACAAAATGACACAAATGAATGAACTGAGTTAATTACTAGCGGTACAGGCACAAGTTGCGTATTTCCACGCCGTTTTGTTCTCACCTGTCCTTGCATCAGCTGATTAGCAGGTTGGTGTAACCCGGCTCTCTTCCATCTGTATGAAACCAAACATAACCTACATAGGGAGTAGGCCGATTGCAATAAATTGCTTGCGAAAACACAGACTTGACGCTTGAATCAGCTGTGGGAACGTGCGTTCACATGAAAGAAATGAAAGTGGGTTGATTTATAAGACCTAGCGGCATATTTATTTGACGTTAGCACGATAAAGAGATTACATCCATGCCATTGTGGTACAAGAACGCAAAAGTTTCACTTATAGCTTGTTTGTTCATCTAAAAGTATTGCTTTGAGAGTGAGCGACAACACACTTCAAATCCCCATGCTAAAATAGTTTGGCCCACAGCGAGAATGCTTTAACCTGTGCTTCCATTTCATGGCCTGTGAGATTCTATTGTGCCAATATGGATTCTACTTAAAAAAAAAATAGAAATGAAATACATCCAAACCAAGAAATGGATTGGCCTCAGTCTAAATCGAATAAGAACATCCCACCGATCTCATCATGATGATAGCCTCTGTATGAAAGAGAAAGACCAGATTTGAGAGAGGCTGCAGAGCGTAACCGGCAGAGAAGAAGGTGCCGGGCTCCTTATCAAAGGACACAAAAGGTCTATGCCCCCGCTCGGCTGATACATCTGCATTCAAGCAGACCCGCCGCCCCGGCCTGACCGATAGCTCAAACGTGAAAATCTGCAGCACGAAAACATCTAAGGACAGGGTGGTTCGCTCGAGGAGGAATCATGTCAGGGAAAAGTCAATTATGAACGCTGATGCTGAGAATTAATGGTGCGCCGCATTACGCAGATTTTAAAAGGAAAGAGAGCGAGAGCGAGGGAGATACGCATTCATTAATTTCGTTCCAGAACGTTGCGTCACATGAGGCCGATGTGCTAAATGACGGACCGGGTGTGAGTACAGTATGGGTGAGAGGAGAAACCCATGCTGACAGCGGTAGCCTGAGAAAAGAAAAAAGGAGAGAAAGCGCAGCTCCTACTTGCAGCCTGCACACTGCTCAGCAACGCTAAATTTAATTAATAAAGCCTTTAAACACGCTGTAACATACCAGGAAATTAACAACCCCGGTTGTGCAGCTGCTGCTGCTGCCACCTCGCTCTTTCTCTCCCTCCATCTCTCTCTTGTTCTTTCTCCCATTGTCTCGTCTTCTTCTGATTTAGTTATGTGCTGTGCAGCCTTGTCGCACCGTAGATTTCATAAATAGGGGTGCCAAGCCTCTTTTCCTATTTGCTTCTCCAGCCTATATAATGAGTGCATACCCACACAAATTTCTAGTTTTTTAGCAAGTATAAAAAGTTACTTTTTCGTTAGATAAAAAATTGTTTTTAAAATAGCAACACTCAACTTCAGGCTTAAAGGGACAGTTCATCCAAAAATTTTAATTCTGTTATTTACTCACCCTCATGTTGTTTAAAACCTTTATATTTTTTCTTTAAATCCATACATTGAAAGTCAATAGGGTCCCAAACATTGAAACAATTCTTCAAAACATTTTAACAGAAGAAAGTCACAGCAAACCGATGACAGAGGTTTCATTTTTGGGTGAACTACCCCTATATGAGTGGATGTGTGATATCAGGTCAAGGGTCACAGGGGTCACGAGACCCTCATTTGCTTTTCAAAAAGCTTTCTCATCCAAACCAGCCTTATCTGATGAGATGAAAGCAGGAAGCTCAGCACTGTTCTCTTAAAAGAATGTCACACCTGCCCGGTCAACCTAAACACACACGTCCTAAACCTAATATTTTCCCTCAGAGTTCATATCACAAATTTAGGACATTCCACTTTAAAATATTCAAAAGCACTTACACGTATGGACATTGACTATGTACAGTGCATCTATTAAAATGACAAGTTCACCATGATAAGCCCTTGACTGTCTGTTGTTCTTAGTTTTATTTGAACTGGACTCTCCAGAGGAGGAAGCCCAGGGGAGGCCTGTTTTATGGACTCTGGTTATCTGATCTGACAGAGCTCTAGTCCCATAGCACCAGAGTGCTAATGCAGTGGGATGTCAAAACAAACACACTCAAGTGTTCAAATGAAATCAATATAGCACGAGCACTGATGAAAACAGGAGCCATATACTGTACATAGTCTAGACAGCATCACCGCATTCACACTGACTCTCTGTTAAACGTTCAAAAAACTCCAGTGAGAAATGCTGATCTAACCTTGATCTAACCTAAATCTCCCCTAACTGTAACGTAATGGAGAGCAGCCCAGCCCCCACAGCTCAAACCGCAGCTCCGTCCCCCGTGTCAACTAGCGGCCCTGCGCGCTTTGGGCTTTTGAGTATGGGAAACATACTGCACCGAAGCAAATGACGAACGCCTGCTTATTGATCGCAGTTTGCACTTAGACCAGCTGATAGAAAGTAATTAATGACTCTATTTTCTGTACCAAAGAGAACAATTGAGGTTTATATGGCAACAACATGCAGACTTATAGAAGGCCCCCAAGGGAGCTGTCTATAAAAAAAGCCTCTGATCAAAAGAAATTACTCAGATAATGTGAAAAGAAAAAACACAACAAAACAACCACAACAGGAATAGGAAGAGAAAAAATGTCACCTCAGTGTAGCTTAAATACACACTCACACACACGTAATATCTCCCAGTCTCTTATCAGACCTCTCTGTGGATCTATTTCTCCTGAAAGTCAGTTCATCCTGTGGCCTCAGCCATTGAAAAAAGGTCAAGCTGGTGGGTAGAATGGCAATAAAGCCCCTGAAATGGTACTATCAGTGGAACATGATTGATCAATTGAATTCCATAGCACAGAAAAATGTGGGATTAAGTAGAGTATTATACGCACAATGAGTTGAGGCATGATGTTCATTTCAAGTTCATTTCGCCTCTCTCCTGCCACCAGATCAGGCAATCAATAGGGGCCTTGCATATCATATATCACTACGCTCTCGCCGAGGAGAGAACATAATCTGCTGCAAATTTAGAATGACAGATTTGTAAGGGAGCAAAAAAAGCCCCTCCACCACCAGAAACACGGGAGGCGGGAGGCTGCCGAGGTTGCACGAACGTTTGCCGAATGTTTGCGGAAGGGCTTCCGGAATAGCAAAATGAGGAGCCGGGGAAAGAAGGCTACCTGCTTCGGCAGGGTGATGAGGTCACGGTCTGAGGGGAAACTGTTCATTTGTTTATAGAGAGCGAGATGGAGGGAAATGCATAAGCTGGCAGTCAAGCTGTGTAATTGTATTCAAGCCGGCACTGGCCTCCCATTTTTCCAGGGAAAAGCAATCTGAAAATGAAAGCAGCATTACATTCTAAAGGAAATTGTGCCTTTTAAATAATAGCTCTCCATTTTCCACCAGCCCACTGACGGGAAAGAGAACAAGGTGGCTCATGCTAAAACACATGGCGTTCCCAACAAGTATATGTTTGCTCTGAAGGTAATCCATCAATTACTGCAGGCCTATCAGATGATGACGGTGCTGATGCCGATCTGGGATGGGGGAGGTGTGGGTCTTCTCTCTCCCACTTTGCACCATCCACATCTTTCCCTCACTCTCTTTTTCTCCCAGCCTCATGTGCTCTATCTTTCCACAGCTATTAGGATCAGTTTGAGGCTAGCACTGACTGAATTTGAGCTGATATACTCCAATCTTTCATCCAGCGGTGCTGAGAGGTGCACTACAGCACTAGACGTAGCTGTTGTGTGGGTGCGGGGAGGGCGGGATGGGGTGCCTGTCCTGGGGAGAAACGGGACCATAACGACTGGTACTAGCATGTGGCCTTGTCCCTCTCTCCTCTCATAGATGGTTCAGATGGCTCTGGCCCAAACAGTGATTCTCAGGGTAGTGTGGAGAGTTTACGGAAGCACCTGAGGGCTGATGCCTTCACTCAACAGCAGCTGGAGGCTCTGGATCGGGTGTTTGAGCGGCCGTCATACCCCGACGTCTTCCCTACGTCAGAACACATCAAGCCAGAGCAGGTTAGTAATATTGAGGCAAATGGACGAATACTAACAAACTAACTCATAAACAAAAAATCTGGAGATTGTTTGCGGTACAAACGGAGTGTGAGCGGACAGCAGAGCTCATTCGAACCGACAGATGTTTATTTTTCTTAAGATGAACTAGTGAAATCAAGTCACCATACGATTTAATCCCAGACAAATGTTAACTGATGCATCTTGCCCAAGCATCACTAATATATGCATTAAATAGTGTAAGGTGCATTAAAGCCAGATTAATTTAGTTTTTAATAATTGCACATCAACATGAATCCGCTGATACGAATACAAAAAATAATTGACAAATCTTAAGTCTCATGAAAAATTATGCTGTGAAAAACAATTAAAAAAAAAACTCCACCTTGTATATACAAGCTCTTATTTAAAGCTTTCGGCTTATTACAGGAGATAAGCTTTATTTACTTTCATTATACTATCAAACAACCAGTGACTATTAATTTTTCCCTTGAAACTCCAAGTAGAGGCCCATAAAGCAAAAGCAGTGGCCTAATTGAGTTCATTTTAATTTCTCTCCGATCGCAGAGAATTACACGTGGCCTAATATTTTAATTTCTCTCCGATCGCAGAGAATTACACTGGTGATAAATCAGGGGGACAGCCCTCACCCCTAGTAGAGTGCCTAATTTGCAGCTAATTACAAAACTGATTTCTACTGGAAGATCAATACCAAAACGAATTGGAAATGACTTGCAATCACAAAGAGAAGCTAAGAAGGTATTAAAAAAGGCAAGGAAAGAGGCTAAACAAGAGGGAAAAAACAGCCCTGGAACAGTCCAGAAAAATCACTTTTAATTTAATGTAATATTAATCAGACTACATTCCCATTTATTGGTCCGTTTTTGTGCCCCCTTTTTAACTGAAGAAAGAGTGGACCTATTAGCCATGTCTGGTGTGTGAGGCCGGGCATTAAAAAGCCATTTTGGAAATGCTAAACTCAATGGGCTCACCCCTCCCACACTTCTGCCAGCCATTTGGTCATCCTTTTCAGATGGCTCTTCAGTTACCCCACGCCCAACTTGCCCCTATCTGCATGATAAAATAGCTGTTGTGCATCTGAGGCCAGACCAAATAGAGAGGAACATCCGCTACTGGCCAACTGAACATTTGTAGCAGACAATTAGAGTTTATCTGGAATAGAGACAGACAAGTCTGGGGTCACAGCATTTCCCATTGGGACACCAGCCCTATTGTGGTGCGCAGATGCACGAACGCACACATGCACGCAGACGTATACGAACATATGTACGCTCACAGTTTAATACGCGAGGAACAATGGTAGCCGGAAATCTATTATCATTTGCTGCATTCGTTACAAAGAAATCTATTTAAAGAAAACCATAGTACCACAAATGACCTCAAATGCAAGTTAATCCAACAAATGTAAACGTCAATGTTTTAGCATTTAAAAATTATAACAGAAAGCTGTTTCGGGATTATATTCGTGTCATCATTTTCTCATCCTAAAGAAAACAATTACAAATGGTCTCGAAACTAGGCCATGTTGGTAATCGAACAAAGCGCACCCGTCTCCTCCCTTGGCTGGTCAGGGGAATGACTGCAGTCAAGCACAAAGAGACAGCTGACACCCCTTCCTTTCAGTCTGTTCCAAATCCTACTCTCTGTCCTGCTCACATGCTTAATGTATGCACACACGGTTCACATTAACTCCACCAAAACCCACATGCACTGACTGGGGAAAATAAAAATAATGTGCAAGTTTAGTACAACTGGATTTCAGGTGTCCATTTACAAAGCCAAGTGACTGAGCCGCCGCTATATTAAATCCACTTTCCTTAAATCATAAGAAATATCATAAAAAGAAGAGAGAAATAAAATAATACAGGACTGGCAGCTCAGAGGAAGAAAGCTTTCTAATTGGACACCTTAAAAGTGATGCTTGGATCCCAAGATATATCTACTTAAAGTGTCCCCTCCCCTCATTGGCAGGCTAATGAATACTCGCTACCAGCACTGAACCCTGGACTGGACGAAGTCAAGCCCAGTCTGTCAACCAGCGTCAGCTCAGATTTGGGCTCCAGCGTGTCACAGAGCTACCCGGTAGTGACAGGTAAGAGCGCTGGATCCACCGTCCCGGCTGACCATTAGAATACTGGCATATTACGTTCATATTCTAGACTATGTGACTGTTTTATGTGGTAAAGTTAGCTTTTTAAGTTGAGCGGACAGGTGAGAGTGGAATGTGACATGTTGATCTAAAGTGGATGGATTAGTGCTGCCTGCTCTGAGGGGCCGTGTAAGAAAGGAGCGATCGAAGCAGACAGGCGCTGTTACTTGCATGCAAGAAGTGATTATGGAGATTTGTTGGCCAGTGTCACTGTTCAAAAACCAATGAATTGTTTTACTACTTCACCGTTGTGTACTGAAATGTTTTCTTCAGCTCATAGTTCTCAGAAAGAAATATGGCGGCCTAGCACGGTTTGGCCTTTTAATGCCGAGGCATTTTTTTTCCTCGTGGTATGTGGTGGTTAATGTCAGCCTTGCTAATTGAAATATTGTTTCATTGTTGCTGCTGTTATTACCTCAGAGAAGGTTAAGTTTACTGATAGCCAACTGTCGTGCTGAGATTAATACGCTGAGCTTTTAATAAAATTCACATAATTATGCAGGAGCCATCAAAGCCAATGAGTTCTGTGTGGGCGGAGGACAGGATGATTGAAAATTGCTGTGCCCCCTTCTCAAATGATAGCTGGATAATGTTATGTGAGAAGAAAGGGCTTTTTCCCCCCCTCGGTAATATGTGGGAGGTAGAGTTCCCTCCAGAAAGTTGGGCCTCTGGAGAAGAAAGGTGTGTTTTTGTCCTTTGTATGAAAGCAGTCTCGGTCTAGGGAGCACCCTCATGGCAGGTGGCCTTTCTTGCACCTGGGACGGGACACACCGGGGGTCTTAGTGCAGACCACCACTTGCTTCTGGTACAGCGTAGGAAATGGCCCTGGTGGAGAGATTTTCAAATGGTTGCTTAAGTTTTTATTGTTTGTTAATGATTTCACAACGGTGTCGGTTTATGCATGCATGATGAGAATGCTTACCCCTGGCAACCTAACTTCAGCATTTTCTGAAAAAAAAAAATAAAATACAGTTGTAATTATGTTCTAACGCTTTTTCAGAATGTCTAGGCTCAAATGACATATCTTGAGAGTCTTATATATGAACTGTTCCATGTCGTATTCTAAATGACTTTTGGCAGTAATAACTTCATTTATTACAAAAAAAAGCAAGAAAAGCAGTTCAAAGATGCAAAAACGTAATGTTATGGTGTACTCGCATGTGATAAACTGGAAATAAGAATAAGGACAGAGTTAAAGGAGGTGCTAAATTACCCTACGCATTTACACTGAGAGACAATTCTGAATAAATTACTCCCTCTCATTGGATAGAGCTGGAGATTATGTTCATTCCCAGCAATGTTTTCCTGGGCCAATTAAAATTCACGCTGCCATTGATCTTGTTGATTTTATGTCGTGCGATTTGCATAATCTATTAAAGATGAATGATTAATGAACTCTTCATTACAAAACAGAAATTGGAATTTTAAGGGCACTACGAGGCATAGGAGACATGTTTTTTGTGTTAACTGTTTACCCAATTCGTTTTAGGGGTTACTGCTCCTAAAGTCCTAAAGAAAAATGCATTTGAAAATGGCTTGCTATTGGACTGAAATTTATGATGCCTGATGAAATCTAATTCATTAAAAAAAAAACTTGTAGTAAAGTCTATTACTTTAAACAATGGAATAGATGCATACTTTTTTAGATAAATTAATAATATAAATTCCTAGAAAGAACAGACAAGTTGTTGTGGGTTTATTTCTGTGCTTCTGTGGTTTTAAAGGGCTTCAGACTTATCAGAGGCAATACTTGCCCTTATGAGTCATGCACATTCCACACTTTCATGTATTAACTGTAGTAGAGGGAAAAAAACAATGGCATGATTTATTCAAACTGCAGTAAAAAGTTTGGATGCTGTCCAGATATGGCTAGCTTTTTAAGAAGGCCATTTGCACATACCTTCACAATGAATGACTAGTGCGGATTCTTAAGCGCCGTCCCTGCCGAGCCGTATAATGGAAGTCTTCCTGGTGCCAGTAGGATGGTACCGTGTAAATGGGCACCCCTCCGATCCACTGAAAACCTGAGCAGGTGCTGAAGGGATCCCCCTTGTTCCAAATCTCTTCGGAGAGATGGGAGGAGAGGAGAAGGGGGGAGAGGGAGGAAAAAATGAGCACCCGGGCCTGAAAGCAACAGAGCTGAAAAAAAAAACAAGCAAGAAAAGTAAGAAAGAAAAGCAGCATACGCAGGCAGAGCGAAAGAAAAGACTGCTTTGTGTCGGCTTATGCTGCTGATGAACTCCGGCTGAAATATATCCGCCAGAGAGACATTTTTTAAGTGTGGCCCGCTATTCTCCAGTGAGCAGCAAACAACACGCTGCCGGCTAGACTGAGGTACCTGATGTGTGGCCTGGTGACAAACTGCCTCTGTCTTGAGTCACCAGAAGCCCCGGCAGGCCCTAGAGCCCAAATTAATGTTTATTTCAGACTCACAATAGCACACTAACCTTTGAGCACACATTTGATAATGAATGACTTTAGGAACTTATATTGGGGATTCAAGCAATTTGGCCGTCCAAACATTACATTGCTGTAATTGATCGGGGTGAAGCAGGCTATTCCGTGTTTCCCTGTGACAAAATGTTGAAAATTGAGGTCAAAGATTGCAGTACTGTTACAAAACATTGTGGTGTCTGTGATTATAAGTTTTTTTTTGTTTTTTTTTTAAATCTCATCTCTATGGCAAGTGACTTTGCTGGAGCTGTTGGGTTTTAAAAAAAGGAATTCATTCCTCTCTCTCTCTCGTCACCCATGTGAAACATGTGTGCATTCATGAGAGCGAGAGACAGACATGGAGAACTCTATAGCTCTTGTTCGTGTCGAGATGTGATGCGCCTCCACATAGACCAGTGTTTATCTTCCATCTCAGTAATCAGGAGGTTGACAGCCTTCCTTTTTGCAGGTCTTGCTTGTTTCCAGGACAATAAGCAACACCACCTCTGATTAGTTTCAGAGTTCAGTGATCTTGAACACTGGGCTTCGGTCAGTGTAGCGAACGTCCTTGTCTGCTTTACAGCGGCAAAGCAGAGGCCGTGAAAACGCGAGGCCTAATTCCTCCGACAGCTTCTCTTCCTTTTCTCCTTTATTGGCCTCTAAGGTTTTTTATTTTTGAAGTTAGGCTTTATGGCCGTCATCTTCTTCTCTGAAATATAGTCATCTAAATGCCTCGTTTCTGTATGTCTCTCGATTAAAAACCGTCATGTTTATCCTGCTCCTGCTGTATGAAGATTCGGCTGTTAGTCCCAGACTCGCTCAGGAAAGGAAATTCTGCCATTGATTTGTGTGGGAAAGAGGCCAGTTAAGTTGCCTGATTTCCTGGCGTTAGGTCAGAACGGGTTGTCAGGTTGCGTCTGACAACAAGGAGGCCTTATCTTAATGAGCAACTCTCTGCACATAGCTTGGTTGTAAAACAACAATAGTTGGGAAATGGCTAATGAGGCTATCATGAAGCTGTGAGAGCCCTCCCCACAGACCGTGTTAACAGCAGAGGATGTTAAAGAGGATGAGTGTAGAGAGAGATGAAGACAGAGCTCACATTGATTGCTCGAGCTGCAGTCGCAAACCCGCTAAGATGAAAAATGCCAAACCTCATCAGCCAAATTATATTACGGCTGGCAATGCGAAGGGGCTGTGTTGCGATTTGCAGGCTTTTTGTTTGGAGATGTGACTTAGGAAAACCTTAGGGAAATTCGAGCATGATTGATCTGCGAGCCAAGCTGCTATTTGCTGATGCTATTCTAGAGATATAGTTTCATAGTGATTTACCTGTTTATATTTGCTCATTTTTAGCTCATTCAGTGGATAAATAATTTCAATCAGGTTTGTATAAAAATGTTGCTTTATTTAGATTTAGATATAAATCTAAAGTTGATAGACGACTCTGAAAGTCTTTGTTATGGAGCAAATTATATGTTTCTTTTCATTCACAGAAAAACTAGATAGAAAAAACAATGGAACCAAAGATTTCTCTGATCCGTTTACAAGAAAAAAAAAATCAGTTCTAATCTATTCTGTTTGTAAGTATGAACAAGCAGGGCCCAAAACAAACACTTGCCAAGTGGGTAAAATACGAGTAAAATATAGCTGGCCTGTAACTTTCCAAAAACTCAGAAGTATGGAGAACCACTGCGATATTACGAATCAGTTTCTTTTTTCAATGTGAGTGAATCAAATCTACAGTGACTATTGCATCTATAACAATGTTCACACCAACACAAAATTTTCCACAATAAATTATTTCTATTTAAATTATGTCGAAACTTCTAAATTTGTTCCTGGCACCAAGCCACCAAAATAAATAAAATCACATGTTTTTGTGCGAGGCGATGTTTTGCTGAGAGATGCTGTGACTACTAATGCCTTTACTGCCAGCTGTACATTTACTGAAAAACAGAAATTAATAATTATTTTGTCATAGAAAGAAAAATAAATATAAATATCTGTACATTAATATTGCAAAATGTTTTATAATTTAAAAAAAATGGCAGCACATATGTGTGGCAAAAGTTTTAAAGCATCCTTGATGTAATTATTTGTGGATCCGTGTTCGCACGTAAAACCCTCACATAGCACAAGTGCACAGCCACATTTCCTGGCTTTCCATGACCAAATCCCCTCGTGCGTGTAGAAATGTTGTTTTCTGAGTGTGTGCCTCTGGAGGCTCTGTTAAAACTCCTGAACACACCCGAGGAACTGAGTCAGAACACCACGGCAGTCGTAACTTCACATAAATCCTTCTTTTCCTCCTAAACGCAATGTAGCATCACAACAACACCAAACACTGTCAGCCAAACTTCATTTTCCTTTTTTTTTTTACTGCTTCCATTCAGTACTTCCATCTGTCATGATTCATCTTTGTTTTTGTTTTTTTGCTGAGTGCGAGCGATTGTGCATTGTCTGATTGTGTGTGTGTGGCTTTTTTGTTGTTTTTCTCCACCTGGCAGAGTCACATTCATCCTCCGTGTGTGTTAAGCAGGAGCCGCATGAGGCTTCCCTGGCTCCTTTCACCCCTTCCTCACTGGCAGTCTCGGGCCTAGCGGAACTGTTGCCCCTCCAGCCCAGCGTGTCAGTAGATGCCTCCACCCCCTGCTACGGTGCCTATGCCCATCATGCCCCCAGCTACAGCCAGTATGCAAGCCAGCCTATTATAGCAGGTACAGATAAATAAATAAAAATAAAATAATAAAAATACAAAGAAAGATTAGAAAACGTACCCTGTGCTGGTAAAGGGGGAAACAACCAAAGGCGTCATGCTTTTTTTTTTTGATGGGGCAGCAATGGCAGTCCAAGGTCATTTGCCCTACACAAAATAATACATTACAAAAAGAAGGTAAAATTACTCTTTAACTAATTTTCATTTAAGTGTGCACTACTGTTTTTTTTGAAAGAAATTAATACTTTTAATTGCATATATGCATTAAATTGATTAAAAGTGACAGTAAAGTCTTTTATATTATTTTACAGTAGAAAAAGATATATCAAATAAATGCTGTTCTATTTAACTTTTTAATCACCAAAGAATCTTAAAAAAAGGGTTTAGTACTACTGTTTTCAACATTGATAATAATAAGAAATATTTCTTGAGCAGAAAATCAGCATATTAGAATGATTTCTGAAGGATCATGTGACACTGAAGACTGGAGCAATGGCTGCTGAAAATTAAGCTTTACTATCAATGGAATAAATTACATTTAACATTAACAATTTACAAAATACATTAAAATAGAAAAAAAAATTTTTAAATTGCAATAATATTTTACTGTAAAAAAAAATTACTGACCCAAAACTTTTGAAAGGTATGGTGTATATAAAAAATGGTGTATATATATATATATACTGTAAAATTGCAACATTTTTAAAAGATACAAATATTTTTTAAAATGTCATTTAAAATCTAATTTACTCAAAAATCCATTGAGGCACATTCCATGGCGCTGCTGGAGACGGCTACTGTCCTGTACGGTCCTGAAAAGTACTGATAATTCTTCTATAGTCTCTAGTACTTTGATTTGATTTTATGATTAAAAGCCTCTGTATTAGTATTTCTAACATGCTTGTTAATGTGTGAGTGGAATTGTGTGTCTGTCATACTCTATAACTGCAAATTTTGCTCATATTTTTAGTTAATGACCAAAAACAAGACAACAACTCGGTTGTAATTTGCCCCTTGTGCACATTAATTAAACCAAAAGCACAACATCACACTAAAACACAGATTTTCACATTGCTTACTGACTTAGTGTGCCACTCTTACTGGCAGCACTCTTATTAGTAACTAGAATGAGGTACAATGATGCGGGACCTCGCGAGGGCCCATTCGGGATTGACGAAGGCCTACGTGCTGTAAAGTTTGCGCCAGCACATCCAGCAGGATTGCTAGCCATCACCTAGAACTGAATATGGAGGCAGTGTGCGCTCTGCACTCTCGTGATGTTCTGGGCTTTTTTAGCAGCAGCGATGCCACCAGCAGGCCGAGGGCCTGTCTCTCTGTCAAGCAGTTTAAAATATTTCAGTCAAAACAGGCCAGCAGCGCCACTCTGTGTAATAGAGGAAGTTAAAAGGCCTAGTGGCCTAGAAGAGAAAAAAAGCGGAGAGTTGTTTTTAGCTTCTGCAGGCTCATCAGTTTTTCAAGTTGTGAATTTATGGAGAGGTGATCATTACCTACTGTATGTTCGGCTTGTGGGTTTTCTAGTTATTTGTCTACAAATAAAAAGCTACAGCTGACTTCAGTTTCCTCAGATTTTCAGAGAAAACGGTTACAGGGTTGTGTTTTTAAGGAAACCAATATGTTTGAGTATTTTTATTATTGATGTGCATGGTGTAACACTAAGTAGTTTAATGCATGGGGTGCTTTTCCACTTTATTCTATGCATCATAATTTTTAATGTATCAAAATATGTGGAGTTTACTGTATCTTTAAAAGAAACTACACAAATACTATATATAATCGTAATTTCTGGATGATTTTCCTCTTCAGTTTTATTATTATTCATTTTATTATAAAGATTTTAGGATAACCGTACATCCAGCACCAGTTGACATTTTTTTTAATTGTAATTATTTTATTTTTGGAGCTGCCCTCACAAACTTTGACTTTCTTTCCAGGTCGAGACATGGCGAGCACAACCCTACCAGGATACCCACCTCACGTTCCCCCCACTGGGCAGGGCAGCTACCCCACCTCTACACTTGCTGGAATGGTCCCTGGTAAGTGTAATTACTATTTTTACGAGGACGTTAATTTTAAGAGAGCTCGTAATATTTTCAGCGAATAGTCCTCGGCAATTGATCATCTTCAGGAAACCCGAGGTCATGCAAAGCCAACTTGAATTTGCACTGCTGCACCTGGAAAATAAAACAGCAATTTGATAACAATTTTGCATTAATATTCAATTAGCATTGGCCCAGAGCTTCCTTTCCTGTTTGAATACATTAGTGTAGAATGCCAGGTAACATTTTAAGAATGAGAGTTGTGAAAGAGAAGTGACACAAGCATATTGCCCATGACATTTCTGGTGATGCTAATGTTTATTAAACAGGATAATATTAATGAGGAGCATAATATTAATGAGAAAAAGATTAATTAGGAGCCGTAATTGCAGGATGGCTGCAAAGACAACAGCGGGCAGTGTAAATCTCGATCTCAACTCGTCAATAACCTGAGAAGGAGCCTCAGCTTATCGGCTGCCGAGGAGAAAATTAAGTGTGGGATATAGGACAGTTCCTCTCAGTTCCACTCGGGTTCCAGCGCTCATTACGCCCCTCCCTCGCTCTCCTGGACCGCTCGACGCTCTCACAGGCCATCGATAAACATAGCTTTCTCCACCCTGCCTCCAGTGCTGCAGAGCGTATCTCTTTTCCCCTCTACTTAACCTGCAGTTCAGGTTCACAGCAAACAGTTAAGGGTCACAAAACAGCGGGCGGGAAGGCCTGTAAATATTTAAATCACTATCTCTCAGAGGGACCCGACTTGAGTTTCACTGCCAGGACAGGATGCAATCTGGCAGCGAAACCGGTGCCCTCTCCCCAAACAGCACAAACACACACATACGTATGCAAACGGACGCTCTGAGAGGAGCCGCAGAAAAGTCGTAAAAGTGTAAATGCAGTTAGCATCAGGATAACATCAGCGCTCGCAAAGTCCGAGCACAAACATTCAGTGTGCGAAAACTGGAAAACAAATATTTTACATCAAACACAGAGAGGGATTCTTCTCTCGGTCACCGTTGAGTGCCTCAGATAGATTCGAGTCTGTCTTGGGCTTCCACGGCCCACAAACATGAATAGTTCGCAGGGGCAAATTTAATTCAGTGACAGGATTCATTTGCTGGGCAAACATATCTTTACAGGTACATCAAATATGTTTTCATCAAAGATTCATTTTCATTGGTCACACAGGCTGAGAAATCCTCTTAAATCCTAGAGCCATGGGTTTTGTGTGCACTTCCATTCATCTGGCCCTCGAACGACTAAGATTTAGTGACAGACCCCAAACACTGTTAAAGCAAAAGCCATTCCTCACCAGCTTCATATAAAACCCAGCCTTTATTGTCTCATAAAAGAAAGAAACGTGGGGGACCAACAGCATTGCTCACTGACATGGACAGGGCCGCTTCCTGAAAGTCGAATTCGGACGAATAAAAAGGGCAGTGTGTGCGAGAACGAATACATTGGGGAGGTTTTTTGAAGCCGGGCTTTGGTGCGGCCGAAGAATAGAGAATCTTAAGAGCGCAACAGCAGAATCAAAGAAAGGAAACTTCAAAACCCAGCTCAGGATTAATGTAACAAATTCAGCCAAAATGGCCGAGCACCAGGGCGTAGGAAAGAGGACAGGGCGAGCCATCTGCTAGCTAGCGCTGTGAAACAATGCCAGTTCCTTTAGTTCTGATGTGCTGAACTAATGCGATGCAATATTTCGAGCACAGCATTACTTTAATTCAGTAATTCAGTTAAGCTCAATCGACAGCATATGTCATTACCTGACCTTAAAAATTCATTTCTACTTGTCCCTTCTTTGAATTTGAATTACACTGTAAAAAAATATTTTTTGTTGTAAAAAAACTACCATTATTGGAGTAGATTTTACAAGGAAAAAAACTATTTCAGTCTTTCTACTTCAAAATTATACATTTAATTCAGGTTTTTTGTAATTATTTGTGAAATTTACTAGCATTTTTTTTTTAATGGTTTAAAAGTAAATCCTTCACATTTTTTTCAGTGTACAGTAAGGTTCTTTAAAGAGGCAAATCTGTAAACATTAAAATACTCTCCTGTTTCAATTGTATAGAAACAAAATGGAAACAATAAGCATGTTAACATAATTTTAGTGTAAAAAAAAATGTTTACTTGCCTTTTTTGTGTAAAGGTATAACTGATTTTGCAACTTCATTGTCATCACAACAATACAATGCCATAAATGCCAAAAAAAAGAAAAATATTTGTACAGCTTTACAGCTCAAATAATGCACAGGTTAACAGATTAAATAACTGGAGTGCTTTTATGAAATTTCAAATCTCTTTAAAAACCTTCGAAACTAGCTTCAAAAAATATAAGTTCTTCATCATAAGCTGATTTTTTTTTTTTTTTTTTTTTTTTTTTTTTGGGGTGATCCCAGGGACGCGGGAAGTAGGGGTGCTGGGGGGGCTGCAGCACCCCCTTTTTTTTACATGGTTGCAAATGCAACGCCAAGTTTGTTCATTTCAATTTATTCAAAATTACTTTTTGTGTTGATGAACATTATTCCAAAACTGCTGACAGTCAAGCTTTATTTCATCCTGAATGCATGAATATGCCTTTAAGGTACACAATTTGCTTTACTGCTAACCTGTCACTTGTGTTTGATTTCAGGAAGCGACTTTTCAGGAAATCCCTACTCTCACCCGCAGTACACAACTTACAATGAAGCTTGGCGGTTCAGCAACCCCGCGTTATTAAGTGAGTATTAACCCTTTTTGCTTATCCCTTATGGGATTAGTCGCTTTAAAGTGGGATTAATACAATCACATTTTACAATGACATTATTTGCATACAGCTTTACTAAACTAGCTACAGTTTTATTTCTCTTTTTGATTAGCGAGGTCATAACACGCCGCATCTCTAAATTAAGACACGCATAAGCCCTTCGCAAGTGTTTTTGTGCGTGCCAAGGCTTCCGAACATAATAGAATAATCTGATTGTATTTTACATTAGCAAAATGATTAGGAGTGGGCGTAAGTGTTGCTCTTGCTGTGGTTTCAAACGCTCCGCTCTTCTGTTAACTTCCAGGTTCCCCTTATTATTATAGTGCCGCATCCCGGGGCTCCGCCCCTCCCACTGCTGCCACTGCCTATGACCGCCACTAGTTACCATGGCAACCCAATTAAACTGCAGGACCATGGCCACGGCCTCCATATCGTACCAGTCTGAATGGCGTTAAGGTCAGAGGGATTGAAGATGGCTACGCGATCTTCAGTTTCACGGGGCCGAGATCGGATTAGGAGGGTCAAGCAACAGCGGGTTTCCCCCCCAGACATCGACTATACCCCCCTCACGCAACATCAACACTAAGGCTCTCATTCTCTAAATCACTGAACAATGACTGAACTATTTCCTGAAAGACTTTGAAAGATTCTACAAAAATATATATATTATACAAGATATAAAACAAGACGAACCGTGTGAAGAAATACCAAGTAACAATTGATGTGTTGTTGTTTTTTTGTTTTCGTTCTCTCTTTAAATCAATCAATACATTCCTTTACATACTGTATTTAGTATCACTAACAGATCACACACACACACACACACACACACACACACACAAGGTTGCCTGAGGCCTTTAACGTAATTTGCCCTCGTCCTACACCATTTCACTAGTGTCTTACCTCTCACGGACAGAACAGCGACGTGTCAGCTGAGCAGAAAACTGCAGTATTGCTCCATTTTCTGTCAAACAGACAAGTGTAACAGTTTTAGAAGCCATCTCTGACTCGTGGTATGAAATTACCAACATGATTTAACATTTTCTGTGATACACAATCAAAATGGGGGAAAAGAAAATAGAAAAAAAAAGAAAAACAGGTCAGACACTGAAGAAGACGTTAACTGTTGCTGTATATGACCTGAAAAGAAAACCGTATATTAAATTATTGTTTTGGTTTAGCTGATGGTTTGTGTGCGTGTGTACATTTGTGTGTCATACCTTTTCGGGATATTCCATTTTATCATGTGTAATGTCTAATATCATGATCGGTGCCGCTCTTTTCTTGTTTGCACTATTTTGCATTACTGGATTTATAAGTACAATTGAATCTTCAAAAGTTTGTCAGATTACATGCTCTATTTAAGCAAAAAGGTCAACTCGAATTGACAAAGTAACTGCAACACTGGACAAGAATACACTTGCTATAAGCTAGAAACTAGTATATGCCTTTTTTGTCCTTCAGTGTGGATTATTTAAAAAAAAAGTCCGCAAAAGAACCATTTTTGTATCGTGTAACTGAGACAGATTGACTCTGGCTGGCTCAGTACCAAAGTAATCATTAGCAGTCAATTGTACAACAAGTTCAACAAATGCCTTACAGCTTTTTTAATTTCATTTTTTTAAGGTTTGGCTATGGTCCTGAGAGGTAGACATGCATGTAACCCTTCTGTGTGGATTAACAAACGTTTATCCACCGAGGACAGAAATGGAAATGGTCCATACATACGCTCCTGGAAATGTAAAGTGAATGTACTTTATACCACGTTTGCCAAAGACTTAGTTTGATATTTAATATTTTATTTGCTGTATCTGTCAATAAAACAGTATTATGTTCTAATAGTAGTCAATACTGATTGTATGTGGTAATGTTGAACAAAAAGGAAAAGATCCATCATAGCCCCACAGCAATGTACTCAAAAAAGGTGAATTCTGTTACTCAAAGGTATGTCATTTGCAACAAACTGCTGCTTTGTAGAATGATTTGTGTATAGTATGAAAACAATTCTTCTATGTATATAAGATCACCTACATTACACCATTGCAGTATCGTACTAATTTACTGATTCCATTTGTAGATATGAGAATTGAAAGAAAAAAAAGATTGACATTACATTTGTGTCTTCAATGTGTTGTGCTTTGCAGAGACGTGCAACAAAAAGTTTGAAACCCGTCCTGCGTCGGTGGGTGGGTTTCAGATGCTATCACCACATGTGCGGCTGTTTGTATGTTTGTTTTGATTCACTTTTACTTAACTTGTTCATACTGTTTAAGTCTCTATGCAAATCAAGTAAATGGTATTCTGTATTCTCCTTTACTACTGCATTCAATTTTACCCTTCATTTTAAATGATCCCTAAATCCTGTATAGAGGATAAGCCTGTAGAAATGAACAAATACATTTCACATGCCTGGTTTTGTGGATTGTTTTTGTACTTTGAACCTTCCTGTACAATTCAATACAAGACTTCAGAATTCTGAATTTTTTTGGCAATATTAAGTTATTTTACTACAGGAGCAGATTATTCAAAATTCATAGCATGCAAATGGAGGAAAAAGTCAACAAATATAACTATACATTAATGTACACACAGGACAAGTTCTAATTCAATCAATACAAAAATAAAAATACAATTATTTGGGTCTTCTTTATTATTATTTCAGCTACCAAGTTAAACTATTGTCCCACTTAGAATGAAGAGATTGTTACCCACTCACTGCAATCCACATTTGTTTGTGGCTTTTGGAAACATGTTCTTGACAGAATTCATTTTAAAACAAGCCAACAGCAGCAGAGCAGAAACAGAGACAATTCTCCTCTCCTTTCGTTAAAATAATGCAAAATACTGTATGTATCACAAACGTAATTTGTTGTGGGCAAAAAAAAAAAATTTTTTTAAATATGTAACAAAAAGCAACATGGCCTCAGCCATTACCTTTATTCCACCTCTGTCCAGTTCTTTTTTTTTTTTTTTGTGCATATGAGAAATACATTTTTTGTATGTCAGCCTGTGACCGTAGTGGTGATTATTAACCCTTTCATGAAAGATTCCTTCAAGGATATGCTGAGCTGCAAGACATTTATCGTGTAGTAATACTAGTTATGAACGTATCATCATTTGTTTAGTTAGTGAAGAACAAATAAAATTACACATTGACTGAGTGTTTAAAGAAGTGAGGCTAGAATACAAGGAATTCAAAATATGAAAAAATATTGAAACCATATATATATTAGAAAATGGTATATATATATATATATATATATACAGTATATACTGTTTGTATAGTATATACAACATACTACAATATACAATATCAATTAATGATATTTTAAAAATGTGTATATAAAATTAAAATGATATTACAATTGATATTATATATAATATAAAAAAACAAAATGTATACATATATACAAATTATGGGTGGGCGATATGGCAAAAATATCATATCACGATTTTTTTTTTTCAAAGTGGGCAAAGATAAAAATCTGTCATTATTTTATCTTTGTTATTAAAAATGAGAACAAAAATACACATTACAAATACACATAATATACAAATAAAACACCTATTGTACCTGTTTTATTTTCACGTACAATAGGTGTATTTAGCAGGAGCATTCAAGAAATTGAATGAACAAATATAAAAATAAAACACTATATATTGATTCCTATTAAAGCAACTGTATTAAAGTTTTTCAGTCAAGAGTAGTGAGTGATTTTTCTCTTTGTGTTTTGTTGTTTTATTAACATTAAAGGAATAGTTCACCCAAAAATGAAAATAGTGTTTTATTTTCATACCATCATTTACTCACTCAAAAGTTGTTTTAAACCTGAATGAGTTTCTTTCTTCTGCTAAACATAAATGCTATTTTGAAGAACGTGGAAAGCCAAACAGTTGCTGGTCCACAGTGACTTCTATAGTATTTTTTCCTACTATCAAATTTAATGTGGACCAGCAACTGTTTAGTTACCCAAATTCTTCAAAATATCTTCTTTTGTGTTCAGCACAAGAAAGAAATTAATACAGGCTTGGGACAATGCGAGTGAGTAAATAATGACAGAAGTAAAATTTTAGGGTGAACTATCCCTTTAATGACAGTCAACAGCATGTGTAGTACTGTCTCTTTAAGAGCTGCATGCATCTAATATACAGGCACGTATCAGTTTTTCTCTCAACTGTTTACTTTCATTTTAGACATAACTAACTGAGTCTATATGTAAACCTTGTGTGTTTTGACAGTATTAGCGCAAAAGATAACTTAGTCCAGTAATCAGGCGCTGTTTGACAGGCTTTTTAGTGCGCGCGCTTCATGTGTATGTGCTCAGAAAAAGCGCACGTCAGAACAGCGGGCGAATGAAACGTTTAACGGGTGTTCTGACAAATAATGCTAGGCCCTAACAATCAGATTATGCTACCAACACTGTATTTATCCTACTGTAAGGGTAGGTTTAGGTTTGGGGTAGGTGTACATGTTAATAAAGCCTCACACCTTATTAATATCATGCTCGAAGCTAAATCTGATAGGTAGCACTTTTCGCTATCGAATTATGCTACCATCTGTTTTAATGGGAGGTAGCAAAATCTGACAGGGTAGCACAAATCGTCAGAACACCGGCAAGGCTTTAAAGCAGATGCAAATAATGTACTTCTGAGTAGGGAATAAGTGCAGTGTCCCGTGAGAGTAACTCTACCACTGAGTTAACACTGATGTGAATGTATGTCGCATTGTACAGTATATTGAGACGGAGGCACCAGAACTGTAACAGATAGAATGCGCGCTGTAGCACGATACTACGATATTTCTTCAAAAGCAGATCGTGGAGACATTTTTATCGTCCACGATCAAAAATCGTCATATCGCACACCCCTAATACAAATAATACATAGTTTTTTAACCATTTTCTAACATTTATTTAATATCAAATAAATTCTAAGTAGGCTAATAAATGAATTCTATCATAATTTTTTATCATATAAAAATCGTCATATCGCACACCCCTAATACAAATATATTTATACATTGTTTTTTAACCAATTTTCTAACATGTATTTAATATAAAATTAATTATAAGTAGGCTAATAAATTAATTCTATCATAATTTTTTATCATATATATATATATATATATATATATATCTTCAAATATGTTCTTTTTTTCTTTTTTTTGTAAATTGATTTTACATATAAGTAAATACTTTTTAAAAACAACATACATATATGCATTGATTTTCACACAAGTGGATGTTTAAGGCAGAAAGAAACAGCGGGAAGCAAACATGCAAGTTCAATCGGGGAAGAACGAGAGGAAAGAGAATCTTAGCGAGAGTGAAAGTGTAAGCAAGGAAAAGGAAAAGTGGAGGAACGGAAGCAGAGAGAAGGAGTCACAGTGAGGGTGTAAAACAGAGTGTGGACTATTTAATGATGCATTGGGTTCCCTCCGCAGCTGACTGCTGCCTGCAGCAGCTCTCCTCCTGCCCAAGCAGACAATCCTACCCTGCTGTAATTCAATTTTTCTGCCTATTGTTTATTTCATAGCTCCCCTGTGAAGCATCAAAAGCTGCTGTTCTGTCAGCCTTTTACTGTCGTATATGTTTGTCATTCAGCCCTTGTTAAAATAACGAAAAAGGCCTGCCTCTGTTCTTCCCCCAGCTGAGAATTCCCAGTGGTAAAATTATTCCATTTAGATGGAAACTTTTTTGTCACTCCCCTGTCTAAATTGGCATATCTGCTTCTTTTGCTGGAACCAATAAACTGTGAACCCGGATGCATCTGTCAATCAGGCTCATCTTTACTTTAGCATGCCAGATGACAACAGGGGAGATGGGAAAAAAAGCAGCAGAATGGAATCAGCTGATTGGCTCTCATCAGCAAGGCATTACAAAAAGCACCTGTCATCCTCTCGGCTCCTCAA